TACAATTTTATAAAACCGCGTGGTAATTTCGTGAAATTGCGGAGAGATATTGTAAATTTGATATTCGAAAGTCAGTTAGTACGCATTGTTTGCTAATTATTTAGATGAGCTTTTAATTTTATGATCGTTTACATAAGTTTGTATTTAAACAAATTTAATTAAAAAATGACCAGTATCGGTGGTGCTGGCGGAGAAGCATTGTAGCGACATTCTTGAGTCCGAGAAATATTTAAATAATGTTTACAAAAAATTCCTACAATTATGATGATATTGAATATCAATTATGATATTATGAAAATATGTTATAAAATTAGTATACCATGTCTGAATAAAACGTCTAACAAAAATGTTATAAAATTATAATATATTTTTTTTAACAGTGTAGAGATTACTTTTTGGTCGCTACGAATCGAGGATCCCTTGAAGGGATTGAGGGAAATGGGTGGAGGGTCAATTTTGGCCGGTGATAGGTGGGGTTAAATCGATTGTTGAGTTTGTTCGCGTATTTTGGACGTCACGAGCTGTGAGCGGTTAGGGGGAACGATCGGGTTTCGAACCGTTCCTGGGCCGGTAGCCCAAAGTGGAACGAACGAGTCTTCGGATTGTCTTTTTTTATGCGAAGCATAATGCGCTTTGCTCTCGCTCCGCTCAAACGGACGTTTCATGAGGGGCGATAATGCGCGATCTTCGCGAGTCTTCCATGAGGGACGGCTCTTTGAATAATTGCCTAGAAATTGCTTTCCCATTTCGTCGGCGCTTTCAGTTTTCGCAACCGAGCTCGTAATACTCCGTGATGAATGCAGAGGAATAAACAAAACATCAGTCAGACGAGTAAACAGGGTTATAGAAGAGATTGCGCAAACAACGCGTTTTCGCGCCGAGTGCGGATTAACGTGTATTTTAGTAATTCGGAGCTCAAGGCACGCCAAATAGAGATAAAAGAGCACGGTACTCTATGGCCGGGAGATAATCGTTCCCTTTTGCAGTTCTTTCCGATTGGAAACGTTACTTTAACGTCCGTTTAAACCGAATTATTCGCATCGAAGTATGCCTCGATCGGAATCGACGAACTTGTCCGTTCCACTTTGCGCCGGTGAAAACGTAATGTGAGGGGCGAAAGCGGGGAAGACTAAAAATTCCAAAGGAACGTATAAAAACCCGGAGGAAGGTGAAATAAAAGAAGAGAGTTTCGGAAAGATACGGACCGTTGAGTAGCGCGAGGGATACTGAAAATTATTTTACACTAAGTAGGACCTTTTCCACCCTCTACTTTGATGAAACTTTACCATCACCGGAAGTCTTCTACTTTTGCAAACTTCCTCCCTCGGCATTATAGATTTTTGTTCGCCTCCTGTCGTCTTTTTCCGCGTGTTAATAAATAAGTCTACTTGACACAAAAGCGACACCCCCAGCGAAGCGTAGGAAAAATCGGATCGCTGGCCCGGATTAGATTTTCTGAAGAGTACAAAGCGATCGAAAAGATTTCCCTGGTCACTTTTACGCGCGGCCATGTTGGATCGTTCCGGATATATGGCAGCTCAAACTTTCTTAATTACCGAAATGGAGGCCTAATTCAAAGTCGGAATTCATGCACCATTCCTGGATCCCTTACCTTCCAGTTTCGTGCGCGTACTTTTGCTCTATTCAATGATGTTCGCTATGCAAAATAGAAACAGCAAGCTATAATAATACACAACAAGCACGTAAGCACACAAGTTTCAAAATTAAACCAAGTCCCTGTTCCTCCTTTCCACCGAAGAGGCAGAAAAAACCATACACAGCACCGTCGAGTCACGTTTCGGTTTCCATCTCGTCTTAATTCGAGAAAAATCGATCAATTCGAGAAAAATATCGCATTTCCTCTGTTAATAAGAAAAAGAAAGAAAAAATAGTTTTCAGTGGTCCATAAGAAAGGTACCGAGCTATCGTTCGTCCGCATGCATATACGCAACTTTTATGTACAAAGCGTCCCACCGTAATTACATACCAAGCAATGCGAATTTTTCGAGTAAGCTGGCATTGTAAAATGCCGATTTAAAGATACAGAGGGAGACAAAGTGTCGAGGGATCGATGCGTAATTATACTTACTGCTCGCGTTCCTCCAGCTCGACCACCCGGTTATTGTCTTTTTTGTTTAGTAATTCCAAATCAAAAGCATAACAGAAACAAATAAGTTTGTGTTAGTGAAGTTGCTAACATGTGCACGCTGCTGTAATGCCGAGTGCAAATGGCCTCGAAAATCCGTGCAATTTCAGGCCGACGAGAACGACATTCAGCTGCAGAATTCGACGGTGTATGACGGATTTCTAGGCGCGTATCTTTTGCGTGATAAGCGAGGACAAGATCGGAAGGGCCGGGACCAAAAATAGATCTTACGTCTTGATCCAACGAATTGTTGGATCGGACATAAAGGGTAACGACCGAGTTTCGAGGCTAAATTCTTGATCCTCGTGCCATTCCGTCGGTCGATGACAATTTTTAATCGACATGCGAATCGACGATTGGCGAGATGGCCAAAAAATTCAGCCAAGAAAGGTCGTTGAAGGATTTTCTTTCGCGGACACTCGACATTAACAGCGTTCTGCACGTTACCATGCTTAGTTTACCTAGATATACGTATACGTATGTTACTTATGACGAAATTAAAGGTTCGTTTGCCCGACTCGAAGTTTATCACTGAAAACTTGAAACAAGAAGGAAACGGTACCGCACATGCTCGAGTTAGGCGACTCTAGATTCCGGCAAAGCATGTATATCGGTTTAATTACGCCATTCGACGCTTTAACGCTGGAATAATACACTCATGAACCTCGGGCGGTATCGGTTTTCACGCTCGCAACGAGTTGCAGGCCTTTCGAAATCTCGAGGAAATTCGGAAACAGCGTGCAACTCGAAGTTGCTCTTAACGGTAACCAGATCGAGCAACATGCAAATTCAACCGTACGTCCGTCGTTCCAGGAACACCTTTAACCTGCTCGAATAACGTAAGTATGTCTCATCGAGGTTGCGTAAGGACCCTTGAAATTTGTAATCCTGGGTGTATTCACGGGTTCCAGGAACCAGGGAATAAACACCGATGTACCGATTGGAAAACATTGCTGCAAGTACAACCGTGCCTTGTACAAAGGATGTCGCTCCAAAGGGGTCGCGATTAGAAACCTCCACTTTGTGGAAAAAGGGTCGCCAATTCCCAGAGATCCTGCTCGGGAATAAAAACGTTCCATTTGACGTCAGTTTTTAAAACGATGCTCGATAGTGGAGGGAATCGCCAGAATTGATTCGTCAATCGGCACCGATTGTCGGAAAGCGATATCGAATTGCGAGGAAATGAAATTCTCTGGCAATCGGGGCGTAGATCGTCGACGAGGGAATCGATAGGTGGGATCGATCGAGGGAATCTTTTGCCCTCTCTTCGATTTTACCTGCCCGAAGGGACGCTTCTCATCGCCAGGCACGCGAGTAGGTATTTCATTTTCTGGCTCTACTTTTCTATAAAAAAGAAGGAAAAAGAAATTTATTCACCCCGCCGCAAGAAGAGCCGAAAGTCCATGCGCGCGTTTCCGATGAACATCCGAGATGTAAATGACTTAATCGCCTGCACGGCTATCCAGGCGGTTGACGCCAGGCGAATTAACATGAAACATTAATTCCATATTTAAACTCCGGCCATACGGAACATCGGGCTCAGCCACTCGACGCATACAAATCTTACAGTTGGCAATCGCGCGGCTTGAATACAAATGAGCGGAGCGAAATCCCGGCCAGAGCTCGACCTTTCTTTCCCTCTTTCGCTAATATTTCAGTATCAGACCGGGTTCACGGCCGGGGAAGAGATTACCACTGATTTTCTACGGTTCAATGAGCTCCCCTTTGCAAGGTTTACCGGGGGCTCCATAAACGGGTGAAATCGAATTTTTATTTACCGTTTGGGAAGATGTATCGAGATCAAACGGGACCGTATAACGACGCGAAAGTCTTGCGCGACGTTCGGCTAGAAACATATCCGATCGGATATTCTAAATATTGATATAAATTCTGCCGTAATTCTGAGTTTTCGTTCCTGTAGTTCCTCTTTTTTCGAATCTGGCTGGGCATTCGAATTTTTAGCAGATATATAAAAAGGTGCATAAAGTCGCTCCTTTATTAATTAACTTATTCCGGACGGACTCGGCAGCGAAAAGCCCGTTGGCACGGAATCCAACGGATTTGTTAAACTTGACAACAGCAATTATGACGCTTTATCTGCACCGTCGAGTTAAAGAAGGAGAAACTTCTTTAGAGCCTCGGCGAATGGAATTATCTCAAAGAAACAAGTATCTCGAGCGTGCAGCGCGATTGAAAAGAAAGTTGCTTCTTGAGGGGACGGCACAAAGGATAACGAGCCCTGTAATGCATATTAGGTTGCTAGGGTTGCTTGTGTAATTTGAGCATTTCTTTGCTGTTTATTCCACGGGGAATCGTATGATCTCTTGGCCATGTCAAATGAGACGAGTTCAGAGGAGGCTCGTTATAATCGAGTCCACTTCTCAATGGACAATGGTGTTCCTGAAACGACTTATTCACACGAAAGCGTACAAATGGAATTTCTTCAAGGAAGACTTAATGGTGTCCGACTCTTTGGATTGTTGTCAAAATTTCTCCTCCTATTAATATTATTACAACCTAATTTTACTGGAACAGATGACGCTACCGAAAGTCGAGTTCCCGAATCTCTGTACCTGGATGATTATTTCCATGAGTTTTACCGAAATCTGACAAACGATCTATGGAAATCTCACAGCGAACTTGGTGCCAAAGGGCCATTTAAAATGCAAGGTACGTTTTATAGGCAGTATATCACAAAATAAATAATTAAAGCCCTTCGTTATTCCTTCGAGGGGGGTCGAAGAGAATGGCCGTTCGAAAGCACACTTGAAGAAATTCGATGTTTGCTCTCTAATGCATGCAATTTTGACCGAACAACCGATTGCCGTACAAACGACCAATGGTGTCAACTCACATTTGACCTGATTGCGCTTTCGTCGGCAGAGGAGGAATATGACGATACAGACGACGATGATGACCACCAGGATGATGACTGCCGCGACGATGACGACGATCAAGAGATCGCCCAACAGTCTGGACCACCATGGCACGTTGCCTGAAAAACGGACGCATGTTCTGGTTAAATGAAAAAGGGATGAGAAAGGATAGCCCCCCGATTGTAATTACCGATAATGGATCGCATCCGTCTATAAAGCCAGCGGACGTTTACACGCAGTCGCGCGATTAACTTTTAATGATTTCTTAACCCCGCCATCGCGATTCCAAGCGGTGCTCGTCAAGCCGTTTAATGCCGGGGATTATTACACGGATCCCGCAACTCTTCCGAATGGTCGTTTTCATCCAAAATGACGCATTCGCAATTTGGATCAAATATGTCTCTCCAGGGGTGAGTTTGCCGTATAAACGAGCTTACTTTATGGCGTTTTCTGCCGGCAGCGAGTCGTCTGGTAACGCAGCGGGAGATTACGAGTTTGGTTCCAGTTTGGGGACCGTTATAACAAATGAAACACGAATTTTTTATGATCCTGTAGCTCTGCTCATGCGCCACTCCGATTTCAGTTTACCGCGGTCCCCGTGGATTAGTGGCATTTACCGTAAGCGGATCGACGCACTGAAACTGCAATTATTTCGGGTGTCCATTATCAACGGAAGTAAATTCGAAAAACGGCCGAAACCCGCCTCCCGAATCCTGTATTGTTCTTTGAAATTAGACAACTTGTATGATGCGTTTAATGTTCCAGTAATTCCTCGAGGCATTCGATCACTCTTACCGATGTTCGGTGTTAACATCGAAACGAACGTTCGCGGGAGTTTTTTTTATCGTCTCCACTATTGTTCCGTGAAACGAGAAGCAATTTGTAAATTGTTGTCCTAGTGTGGTGGGAAAATAAATTCCCTGTTTAAGCCGCTTCGTTCGGCTTTCAGAAGGGGCGCGGTAACAATATCGAAATGCATTTCGCCCGGACGGTATTTCCCCTCCGAGTGAACGTCATACAAGAACATCCATTTTGAATATCGCCAGAGACGACATATAAATCAAATTAAAGAGTGGCGGAATGTCCCGAAGCGTACAATACGCTGTCTCTATGACGGAGCTGCGATCGTGGAATACGATGCAACTAAACTTACTGATATTTCCATTGTGCGCTAGAAAACATACAGCATCCATAAGTACAATTTTTTTATTCGATAAAGCATAGCATAAGAGACGCGCTCGAACGCGGATCGTTCATCTTTTATCTCTAGAGTTCGGATTTGAATAATAATGAAATGAAATAATTTCATGACTCGATCGCTTGCACGAGATAGAGACAAAGGATCCTGATTGATTCGATACCGTTTGGATGGCATCATTTTACGTACACAAGGCGATAATTTGTCGCTCAGCGTTATATTAATTACTAATGGCGGCTGTTTCGACGCTCGCAAATTCGTGGAAGCGATACCCCTTGAATTTTCGCTTGCAAAGGCACGTTTGGCCCTGTAAATTTACAGGGCCAACGTTATTAATTAATACCAATTTAAATTCGGAGAAATCAGCGCGGTGCAAATGGTGTCGCAAAGTTTAGCGCGATCGGCTTGTATAAATAAAACGCGTATGTAAAATATGACATAGGACGTGACTGACAGAGAATTACGATCGCGTTAAACAAGTGTCGAATGGCGGGACATCGTTTCGCGTTTTATCGGAGGATTGTCCGTTATTCGATTTGAATCGCGGCAGCGTCGAAACGTCATTGAAATGTGAAAAGACACGATCGAGTTCGTATTGAAAAATGTCCGCGGGTCACGCGGATTTTTGGATGCGGACAACGTAGATTTTCACTTACAGATGAAGAATACGCGGTATTTTTTTTTTTATCCGCCTAGGGTCAGATCGATACGAGTCCGTGAATGTCGAATCGACATGCACGAACCCACTATCGATATGTTCGATAATTGCAATATGCATTTCACGTACGTGCAACAATTATCTGTGCCCCTCCTATGCGACACTAGTCTCTTGAAAGCGTAATAAAAATTGAGGGGTAAAAATATCACAATTTGAGGGAGTCCCGGTTGCAATGGTTCGCGAAACCGTTGTTGCAACTTAACGTTAAATAATTATAACGTTTCCTCAATTTCAGAGGAAATTTCTGTGTGCCCCTTAATTTGATCGAGGTGGAAGTACTTTATAAAGATAAATCCAGTGATTGCTCGAAGAGTATTGACGTAAACGCACCTGGGACGGTGCGTTCGCACGGGGAGGAGAACCCGATGGAATTGTTGGCAACACAAATATACGTCCGGAAGTTACTGACGGAACCGTCCAGCGGAAGGTAACTCTTTTCATTCCGGTCCTCGGAAACTTGCTCCAAGGTGTCATTGTCGTTCTTCAATGACCAACTGAAACCCGATTCTTTCGGATTCGCAATGGCGGAACAGACGACGTAGTCTTGGCCATCCACCCGGTCTCTATCGATTCGGCATTCGGGTTTGTCTGTGGGGAAAAAAAAGGACATGCTCAAGATAATTGAACCTATGACGGTACGCCAGAAAATGTTAGGTACTCGTTCCCTCAAACGGTGCATTTATAAAACCTACTTCGCCGTTCGTGCCGATCGACCCTTAATAGAATTTGGCCAGGAGGGCAGACCGAAAACGAAGAGAGGCGGACAAATATTTGATCCTGTGCAAATTTTCAATGAATATCTCGATGACCCGTTTGAGAAGACAGGAGTAAAGGCAAAAGAGATGTAGATTCCGGCACCGATCGACGGCGATATTTCAAGATCCTTCAGGGTGTAGGACCACCCACAAAGCTCGAAAGGGTTAAGGGTCTAAGCTTAAAGAATGGAAACGGGGAACTATTTGGCCGTTAAAAAATAGAAATGACAACGATTACGCGCTTTCCGATTCACTTACATTGCACGTTCATGTAGGTGGAGATGGTTCGGTTTCCGTGGCGATTGCTGGCCTCGCAAAAGTACGTCCCGGCACTCCTTCTGGGGATCGACGTCTTGAAGGTGAGAATTCTACCTTCGAGGATGGTCTCCGTGGAGTCCTCTCGATACCACCTAAACGTCGGCTCCGGATGCGCCTTCGCGCCGCACAGGACGTTCTTCGGGATGTGATCCACGACGACGTTGATCACCTTCTCGGAGATGGTCATATTCTCCGGCGGGACTGAAATCAGCGGTGATTCCACGTTACTCGTCCTTATACACCCGGGTAGCGTTTGGCGTACGACGCTGTATCGACCTCGACGGAACTAACTCTCGAGGGAAAAATGTCGCCGACGAGGAAGTTCCTCGCGAGTCGTTACTCGAGTCGAAAGGAAAGGAAGAACTTCGGGGGAAGTTTAATAAGCCGGTGGCCGTAAACGTACATTCGACGTGGAAGTGCGTGCTGCTCTTGACACCGGGGCCGATCCCGTTGCTGGTGCTCTCGCAGGTGAACAGCACGCTGTCGCTGAAACGGTCCAGTTGACCCCCCGGCCTCGCCGTTAAATTCCAGATGAGAGTCGATTGCACGCTCTCGAAATCATTCGAACTTGGACTGGGAGGGTGGAACACGTTCGAAACATAGTACTTGTCCGTTCTGGCGAAGTTTATTGGCACGTTGTCCTTCAGCCAGGTGATATTGCAGATAGGCGCGCACTCCACCCAGCACTCGATGCTAACGTTAGGAGCGTTGTACACGTATCCCTGATAGGTTGACAGCTTCTTGATAAATGCAGGAGCGGCTGGAAAAGGAAGTGCTCCCTTTATTCTCGTTTGTACGTGCCCGATCCGGCGAACGGTCGCCGGTCGTCGTTCGGCAAAATTTTCGAGTCGGGAATGATCGACTCTCGCCACTGGCATCGACCGGTCGGTCACATTTCAGCGGGCCAGATCGTTCGTCCATTTTTCCCCCTTCTCGTCTTTTTAAGAACGACCGAGCAAAATTTATGAGGAATAGAGGGAAAACGTCCACGCAGGTATTCCTGATACGTTGACAGCCGGGTGATGGACGCCGAATCCGATAAAAATGAAAAAAGTTGCCAACTTCTGGCCGAGAGCAGGTACGCGGACGAAACGAACGACCGACCGTTCGCGTCACAAAGAGACGGTGTTTCGGTTAATTTTTACGCTCGTTTCCCCGAATCGAGGCGGAATATGGTTTACGGGGTTTCCTTGGCGACGATGAAGCAACCCTTCCCCGAGCTCGGCGATTGATTCTCGGAACGAAACACAAGGGCAAGTGCAAAACCCACCAGACGTCGGCTTAATTCGGCTAGAATAATGGCGGAACTTAGGCGCCTCTTCCCGCAACGCTCCGCATAACGGAAGGCCCTAAAATCCTCTCCCGAACGTAGTATTTACTCGTCTGTGAAATTACCTCTTTATTCTCCTCTCAATTAAAATATCTAACGGCACGGTGCTCAACAAAGCTGCCGCTATACCGGCGAGCGTTTTGCGCGCACGGCGCAGATTTTAATCTTGCGAAAATTGACGATACGGAGAGGAAGCGGAACAGCTTCTATGGCAGGTCGAGGCGTCGATCCGATTGCCGGTACGTGTCATTCCTTCGGGAAATTACGGGAGAAGGACGCGAGGTTCGAGAGAAACGTCCGACCTCTTCCTAACACTGGAACAGATACCTTCGGAAAGCCTCCTCGAATAATGCACCCAAAGCATTCCGCGGGTCACTTTCCTCTGGAAACGCGCGTCCCCCAGGAACCCGTGGAAACTTTTTCCGTGCCGGAATTCTGCGGAAAACCGGACACGCGCTTCCATTTTTTCTCGCTACTTCCGTCGTCCGTTTCCGTTGTAACGCCTCGGATCGCCGTTTTAGATAATTTCAGCCTCTCCGATCTCTTTTAATTGCGCGAAATTGCCGCCGATAGGACGTCGCGAGTTCGTTCCGCGGTACGGGGCATTTCCTTGGTTTACGAAGAGACATTTACCCGAAACATCGATGAAGGTTGTTACGGGATCGCCATCACCGGCCTCGTTGTAGGCCATGCACGTGAAATTGGCCTCTTCTTCCAGGTTTACGGACTCGATCCTGAGGAGGGCATTGTTCTCGTCGGGAAGGCGATGCAAACCGCGGAACCACTTGTATCCCGTAGCTTTTGGTCGTCCCGGGTCCTCCACGGAGCATGTGATGTTCAGAGGTCCTTTTTTTATCACCTGCTTGGGCTCGTACGATATCGAGGCTGGACCTGGCTTATCTAAAATGGAGATAGCAAGAATACGTAAAAATTATCCATTTGCGGGTGTTACTCGTCGACCGCCATCGGTGGCTTTGCGCGCCGCGATGGGTTATGACGGCCACGAACGCACGCGAATGATTAGGACCCGCGAAAAAGATTCGACATTTCAAACAGCTACTCGAGAACCGCCACCATTAGCTTCACGTGCTGTAAAGGATTAAAAGGCGTGCGGCTCCGCGCTCTGCGATGGGTCTTGACATCTACGAACGTCCGCGAAAGTTTAGACTTCTTCTGAACGAATTCGCGATATCAAAGTGCACCGCCACCATTGGTTTCGCGTGTTGCAAGGGGTTAGGACGCGAGAAATGGGTTAGAAGGGGCATGAACGTCCGCGGAAGGTAGGACGCGCGCGAGCCGGCGAACTACAATCAAGGGATTTAAACGAGACCGTTCGCATTACGGAATCGCGTTCACGCGCATACAAAGGCAAATTCCCATTTGTATGCGCACGCTCGCGCGAGCAGCGCGAAGGGCTCGCGCGTATGCGCTCGCACGAACCGCAAACGCTTCGCCGGCGGCTCGCTCGCGCGCGCCGACTCCGGCCGAGTAAGCACGCGCATGCAAATCGCATCGCGCGCACGCTTAGCGATACGTCGAGTGTCCACGAGAGCTCCGGCAAAAATGAACTCCCGAATCGACCGATCGGCCGCGCATGCTCCTCTAAATCCGCACGCAGGTCTCGCGCCAGGTCGATCGCGTTTCGACGTCCCTTCGCAGGTGCACCGAGAGCGCGTTTGACCGGAAGTAACGATCCCGACCGAGTGGTCAACGCGATAGAAATCCACAGCCACCGACCAGGAACGCATACTGGACCAAGATCCAGCCAGCGAGATATGTACACCGAGAAAAAAAAAATTCACTGAACCGAAGAAATACCTTATTAATTAAAAGAATGATTAATTGACAGAAATAGATTGTCACAATTGCCGAGAAACGTTGCACACAATTATGTCGAGGTTGAGTCGAATAATGATTCTCTGAATTAATAAAGTATTTCATTAGCTCAATGATAGTTTTTCTCTCAGTGCACGGTGGTGACGAAAATTTCAAATTATTAATCTCGAGTCGAGGTATGCGTAAGTGACACAGAATATGGATTTACTCGAGTCGTCGAGGTTTAGTTAAGTTATTCGTATTTTTGTTTCAAGCGATTAATATTGATCGTTTGGTGGAAATCTCGAGGCGGGGTTATTTTTTCATTCCAGGAATTCGACGGCTGCCGGTCTTGGCTTCTCGGCGCCGTTTCGGCCCAGGGTCGAGGATAGAGGTGGAGGGACCTACAGTGGACGACGACGGAGGTGTTGGCCGATACGAAGCCCCATCCGGCGTCGTTCCTGCCCACGCAGGAGTAATTCCCGTGGAAGGACCTTCCGACAGCCTCCAGCAGCAGCTTGCTGGGGTCGATGTCGCAGTAGGTGGAGGTCTCCTCCGGCGTCGGAGGCGTCGCGTTGCGGGGGCAATCGGGTAGTTCTTTGAGCAGATCCCCGTCCAAATACCAACGAACGGCAGTCAGGGTCGGCGGGTTTCCGTCGAGCAGGTTGCAGACGAGAGAAACGTTGAGATGGTCGGCTTCGTTTACCGGTGCTTCAGGCTCCATAGTTACCTCCACCACCGGCTTATCTGCGTCGTAAAGGCGGAATTATTCCTTCCCGCGATCGGCAGCTTTCGAGGGCCGCTAGATACCGCCAGATACCGGCCCAGATAGGTTAACTTTGTAATCGTTCGTGTCCGATGGCAATAATGGACAGCCGTTTCAAGGAAGAAAGGGTGCTCCCACGGTTAGGTGCGCCCAAGGGCGGCACTTCCGGAGTGCCGTTTGGAGAACCGATTTCGTGCCGGACGTTGCACCGAGCGACCCTCGAATTTAGACGTTCATTCCGGGAATTGTCTTACTCCATGTCGGACCGTGTTAGAGGAACACATATATATCCGAGGAAGGAGCTTGCCATTTTTCGACGCCGCTATTATGTCGATAAACTCCGTAAACTTTCCGTAATATGATCGAAGACTTTGTATCGTACCAACCTTTCCCGCCTGCTTTTAATTGACCGAATGAGTGATCGTTTATCGAGCGAACCTTCGCTCTGCCTCGTCCGATTTAAAAACGAGGCAGAAAGGGCAGAAGAAATTAGCCCGCTTGCTTCTCACAAATGGCTGACCCGATTTTTTCGTTTTCATTATTGATAAATCGAGGGAATAATAGCGCTCGGCTCGTTAGGAAGTCTCGAGGAATTTTCTTACACAATACTGAGACATCGACGTAGTCGTCCGTCTTGGATTCACCGATGTCGTTCGACAAAATGCAAGTGTAAGTGCCCATGTCGGCTTGTGTTGCGTTTTTTACCATAAGTGCCGTTTGCTCGGTAATCCCGCCTTCGTAGTGCTCTTTGTTTAAGGTGAGCTCTTCCCCGTCAAGTAACCTAAAATATAAGAAATACGAGCGTTACTTTCAAACGTAACACCTTTCGACTTGGTTTTAGCGGTGAAAAAAAGTCCCTTTGGAAATTTGTCTGGGTAAAGAACCCGGAGCTTCTTTTATCGCTGACTTCCTGCCGAATGGAAAAATTTTTCCCGGCTATTTCCAGACACGGTGGAATTTAAAAACGCACTGCTGTTAGAAGGACGAACGCTCGCGGAAATGTTCTATTACTATCCATCAACCGCGTGGGGCCATTATTTTATTATTCCATTCTGCCTGCTCTTTTTACAGGCGAGCGTTAAGGGGTTAACGCCGACATAATGTACTCCTCTGCTGATAAAGTTCGGGAGCCGATTATAAAACTTTTACCGGGAAGGTATACGGAAAAGGGAATCGCTTTCATCGTTGATGGAGCTTTTCCAGGAGCTAAGAATTCGACACAGAATTTCAGTAAAAAATCATTCAGGAGTTGAAATACTTGAAGTCGATTCGGTGCGAATAGACGAGCCGAGAGTAAACTCGCGATGTCAGCTTCGCGGTGAAACGGTCGCAAGCTCGAGAGTGCTTTTACATATGTGACCCTTTTCTTTTAATTTGAACGGCTATTCACCTTACGTCACGTACACTCGCAAACACGTCGGGTCTTTTGACCAGAAAGCACGTTGAAAGCACCCCAGAAGGGGAAAACGTCTGCTTTTTATATACTCGAGCTTTAACGTCTCGTATTTATTAACGACTTAATATTTACTCCTGCTAAATTAGTCCAAGTTGATTAACGCTTTTTGAAAAGGAGTCACGAATGTATCGTCAATTTGCATTCCGGATGTATGCAGGATTATAAATTGCTGGCGACGTTTCAAGGGTTAGTCTAACGATCGCCTTGCACGTGGGATTTGAGCATCGCGAGATAGACGCGTAAAGGTACGATTTGGGTAAATGTTACGAAAACGTTACGTGTACGTTATACCCCGTCAATATTCGATGATATATACCCGAAACGTGAAATGTTACGGAGATTACTCGGTCCGTGCACTCTGCGTTTACTATTCATGTTACGTACTAGAGAACTGTGTTACGTGTAGATGGCTCCGCTACTTCGAAACGAGATTAACATGCGATATCCCCACAAAATAGCAACAAGTATTCATCCCGATTTCGAGAGCGGAGCCACGTAGAAAAATGTATGAAAATTCTGATTTTCCAGAGAAAGGATTCATTTTAATTGGGGAATCCATCAGGAGAATATCTGGGCTTACCATTTGACGGAGTTCAACGTCGCCGGGTTCGCTTCGTAGTCGCAAAACATTAAAAAATTATCGGTTTCGTTCACCGTAATGTTGTCAGGCTTCATCCTCACTATCGGTACATCTGCAACCAGAGAGACAGTAATTACACCGTAATTTCGTCCGTTTCGGTAGATGGGGACAATCGGTCGTCCCTGCGTTTAACGAATCGGTGGGTTGGCGAGTAACGAGGCTTCCAGAGTCATCCATTTCCGACATTGCCTACTTCGTTACTCGCGGTATTGACTATTCTGCAGGAAATGAAAGCTTTTAGGTCGTAATCAGACGTAAGTCAGAGGGATGAAAATAAATCGGATCTCATATCCTTTGCCATTAATGGCGCGGCCGACGTTTACAAAGATCCATGAGTTGCATCAGCGGATTAAGGCATTAACTCTTCACCGGACTCGTTACTCCTCGGGTGATGTATAATTGAGCAGGGTCATTCCTAATTACACGTGAAAAATAAGAAGAGCGGTTTCCTTCATTCTTGGCAGATTTTTCGAGGAAAGGAAGGTCAGGCCACCGATGCCTTCGTTATCCCCGAAAAACGGCTCGTTTTTCTTTTCGCTTTGTAAGTGGAAAGCTTTCGTTAAATCGGTAGAACTGTCGTGGAATTTACGTAATCGCTGTACTTACACCAAACTTCAATCGCTTGCGCCACTTTCATGGGCTTGATGCCCTCTTCGCGAGTGACGGTGTTTTCGGCGTGGCAGCTGAAAGTCTTTCCATTGTCAAATTCTTTCGCGGTGAATGCAAGACGGCTGTCAGTTTTGTACGTCCCGTCGCTCTGCAAGTACAAAGAACGAGACCCTTCGAGATGCTTGCAACAATACGCGGGAGCGACGTAAATGTCGCGTTACGTAGAAGCGTCGGAGGAGTGCAATGAATCCCTTCGATAATTGTCAATTAACGAGACGGCGCGATTAGTGGGACGTGTAATGGATTACAGAAATTGGATGCGGTGGTACAAGCTTCGCGCAACGAAATTCCATCTAATTTGTCCATCCACCAAAGACGGAGTTCTCTACTTTAGAAGAGCGACCCACGAGGTAGTGATCTTTTCGACCGTCGGGCTAATTTCCAATTCATGCTTTGATCAGCCCTGGGTCACTCCACACTTTTGGAAATAAGGTTTGAAGTAACTGCCAGCGAGTGAATGGGAATTTTCGAATTTCATCGTCCTTAATTCCTTGTTGAATAAACTTCCTCATTTCTGGGGAGGTCTTTCCGTTCGGTTAAAGTCTTTTTGGGATTGTTAAGAATTCGAACGCTGCCCCGTTAAATGGATCCGCATTAGGGCTGGCCGCTAAAATAAAATTGAAGTTAGAAGGCCATTCATAATCAGGGTTTCAAGACCCGGGAATTAAAAAGACGGAGGGACGGGAAGCGGGAAGGAGGCAAGCGCGAAAAGTTCCAAACCTGGAAACCTGACCGTGAATTATTCTTTAAATCTGTTTGTAAAACGTTTCCATTACGAATGAGCTCAAACTTGAGCTCGTAAATTGTAAGGATGAAATACAGAGATACCGGGGTCGAGTCATGGGCTTAAAATCTCGCCCCTGGGTTGCCGGTTAAACGCAACATATCGGATTTTCTTCTCGTTGACCCCTGGATTGTTGAAGTTTCATACAGAAACTTGCGATATACCCTTGGGGATGTACCTCGCCTTCGATCCCGGGGCCTTCCTTCCCGCTATCCGATCTGAACTTTGCAACCTTTCTCCGTATCCTCTTTCATCTCTTTTACCTCGTTTCGTTGACGGACAATGCCAGGATACGCCGGGGTGTTAGCAGGTCGCCTTCGATTTTCTCGACCTTCCCAACATTTTTCTATATAATTGCCCGACCATTGTTACGCGAGATCACAATACCGACGGAATCCGCTTGGCTTTTAATCGACGCCGTTGTCATTCGAAGTTTATGCAAACTTTAGTTTCTTTCCTCTCCAATGGGTTTGGGTCCGATCTTTCGAGACGCGAGAATTTTCCCTGCATTTCGGAAAGTCTGAACGATAATGGCGGATAGGGAGAGCTCGATATCTATGATAGCAAACCAGGTTCGAGTTCCTTAATCAAACGTTCGCGAGTCATCACTGTTGGTTACGGCGAAGTGAACCCGGGATCGAGATGGCTCCCTAAAGTTTTCATTCTTCGTTGCACGAGGCGGTATAACTGCTGGCAAGCAGAACGCTGCCCGTTATAATTAGTTGGTAATAGGTAAATTCTCTCCATTACCTGGCAGAATATTCTGCAGGTAGGCCGTTGCGTCGGCCGCCACGTAATCAGACACTTAGCAAACAAAGCTAATTATGCACCCGGGATTGCAAACGGCTAATACCAGGAATACAATCCCGTAATCGAAATGATGCGGCTTCGCAAACAAACTTAATAAAGCACCCGACGATTAGTCAACTCGCTTCTGTCGACTCGATGGAAGCCCATGGACCATCGACCATCGACACAGCGAACACAAAGCTGGGTTTTTTCACCCCAAAATTAATTCACTCGATTTTGATTCGGAGTGCGACCACGGTTTCAATAAGTCTCTTCGAATCGATTCCGCACCAGGATCCGTTAATTCCGCATGGACTGTCCTTTATACGAAGGATTCGAGATCGAACTGTTAATCAAAAGGGTTGTGGTCGACGATTCAGATCGAACGCGCGTCAAGACTTACTTCGTTAGTGATTTCGGTCTCGAACATCTTAAATCGCGTCCTGTCTTCTCCCAAGGGCGTTGTTCCGTTGTACCAAGTGACATTGGCCGCTGGTCTCGCTCCGTTTACAACGCACTGCAAGAGGATGTTCGTCTCCTGGACCGCGTGTCCCGCAAAGCCGGTCAAGTTCATCTTCGATGGTCGAACTGAAACCAAAAAACGAGAGAATCCGCTAGGTCGCTTTCGTGGGAAACCCGAACACCGCGGTTATCCTGCGGTTTTTCTCCGCCCTCGTCCTTAGCCCTCTACAGGAAGTCGAGAACGAGTTTCGGAGTATTCTTGGCGCTCGTTCCAAGAGATGCAACAGAGGGTTTCAAGTAAATCTGATAATTTCTCCTTTCCCTTCAGACCAGTTCCTGTTTTCGAGTCAGAGAGCTCACATCGTCCCGATCCTCCCATAGGGAATCAGGAATCAGTTTCGAAACACGAGTCGTCGTAGTCGAATTTCGGGAACGGCGTGTTCGCTAAGCTACTTCATTCGTGGGCTTAATTGACCGCGTCCGAAACAGGCGGAATAAATCTCCTAGCATCCTACAAAGGCGGATTATTTGCTATGTATCTTGATGCATTTCGGCTTATTGTAGTCGTATTCGCGAGGGTGTAGGTTTCAGCCGGTCAGATTGAGAGGACGCGGGGTTTGGCTCAGTTGGAGCTACACTTCATTCGGCCGACTTCAGAGGACAAGCCGCGAGGATTTAGACTTTCGTCGAATTTGAAATTCTGCCCTCGGCAGGCGAAATCCTAGCCCGCGAGGTTGTCGAGACCCTCGCCGTTCACGTACATGAGGGCTTAGTAGGGACGCATGTTTCCATGCTCCGAACCCTCTGCTTACAATAATCACCCTCTGGAAATCCGGAATTTATGCAGGAATTTAAACGCCCATAACGCCACTTTGAACCTCGCCAAGGATTCGTCGAGTTTCTTTGCCAACGTCCCAAGGAACTGGCGAAGAAGTATGGTCGAAGTAGAAGAGAATGACAAAATGAGGATTTATTAATAGGGCAGGGCATTACGCCTCCTCGATGGACTCCATGAACGGCGGGTAGGGAGGCTGTGCGATAAAAATTTCAAAGATTCTACAAAATCCGGGGCGTTCGTTGATGGAAAACGTAACGAGGGCTGATTTAGTAATCCGATCGCATGGGAGAACGGAACGTCTCCTCCAGGTCCTGGAAAACGCCTCTTGGTTCAATGCCACCTTTAACTCGGTTACGGTACGTTCTCAGCTCGGTTACGATAGCGGTGGGGTGGGGAAACTTGCCAAAACTAGAGTTTAAACCGAGGAAAGAGGCAAAATCCATCCGAGGAGAGCGAGAAAAGCTTTCTTGAAGGAGTTGCAGGGATTCGTACAAGTTAAATTCATTACTTTCCCTTCGGGGAGTGGAGACACAAATCCTGCCTCTCGGGGGAACGATGACTTCTCCCTGGCGGAAAAAGCGTCCGTCTTGCCGGGAAGAGAGATGGAATTCGCCGATTTAAGGGGATACTTTTAATTCCCCAGGAACCCGACGAAAGAAGAAGGGTCGAAACATGGCGGAGCCACCGTTTGCAAAGAGCGGGAAGAACCTGCTCGAGAAAAAGTTGACTTAATAACGAAAGCACAGGTTGGACGTCGCATTCCTGGGGTCCCCTTCGCTAGATAATACCTTTAACCCGATTACGTTCTGTGCCCCGCACTCACATTGTCGTCACGTTCTACCCCTTTCGAGTCCCCTTGAAGCGAAGGCCATCAACGGGAAAAGCGATTCTCAAAGTTTTGCCAGAACGGCCCGAGGGGAGAGGGAAAGACGGTCTCGTCGTTAATGCGCGATAATTTCCCGCTGAAAAATGCCGGGAGGATTTTCGAGTTTCAGAGGTCCGAGGACCGCTTTCGCAAAAGTGGAGGCGTCCGAAAAAGAGGCATCGCAAATGCGAGCTGGAAAGAGAGCGGAAAGTGGGACTTTGGAAATTGTCCCGGGTCGATCCCGTCGTTCGCAAATGGCGGTGGATTTCAAAGCTCCCGAATGATCGAGACGCTCAAAGCGGCGGTCTGCACTTTGCGGGGGATAATGAAAACACGGAGGAGCGATCGAGGCGAGAGAAGGACTCCGAAGCCACTTTGAGCCAATGGTCCGGTTCTTTTAACCCGGTTAGGGCTCGCTTCTTCTGTGGATTTTAGCGGTGCGAGAGGATCGACTCTCTTCCGGGTCCTTCTCAACCAGTTCGACGACGCGTTGGAAAAAGGGATCATGTCGGCGACGAAAAGTCGGCCGACGAGCCCGAGGAATCTAATATCGGGAAATTGCATTTGCCTTCGATCGACTCGACTTGACCGACCTCCTTCAAATCCTATGCTAAAATATGACAAAAGATCGAGCCTCGCGCAGACGGCGAATGGTTCTCGAGAAATATGCTGATGTATTCTTACTCCCGGCCAACCTTGTTGTCCTCCCTCGTTCTCGTCGAAAGTCCGTCGACTCGGTCGTGGCAAGCAAATTTCAGAGGCCTTTCATCCGCCGAGAAACGTACTCGGCATGGGCCAAGAGAGGAAAAGGTTCAACGGAGCTTCGGGGAAAAAAGGACGCGACGTTTTCCTTCGCCTTGCGGCCAGGGGGGTCGTTTGCTTTAATGGGCGAATTTTCATACAAGTCTCAAAGTCTCAGCTTCGCGAGATTGACGCAGTCTATACGTTACGGGAGCAAGGAGCTCTCGACGTGTTTCTTTGGCTTCGAGCTGTCTACGGGGCTCGGAAAGATCGCCATGTTCATGGGGAATGAAATATTAAACGGACCGGTCGTCTACGCGCCGGTATTCTCTTTCCTCGACTAAAGGCCAATTAGCGAGGTACATTTACGGGGAATTTCATGTAATTCGAACAAAAGACTGCGCTATGAACCACTTTCTTTGTACCTTATACCGCGTCGGAGCCAAACGGTGTTACCGGCCTGTTTAAACTTCAACGAGGTAATACGTTCCGACGTGATTATCTTTTTACGGTGATAATAAGTTCAACGAGTATGGGTGTTCCCCGGTTTATCGAGGACGAGGCACGAAGGCGTCTTTCTCGCCGCTTATTAACCGGAGTGCGAGAGTGCCAGCTGCGTTTTTCGAAAAGGGGGACAAAAAGTCGCGATATATCGTTATTGTGGATTAGGTGCCCGCGAGGATAATTGCATGGGACGTCTGCCAAGTCCCTGGCACCGTGCTTCCTCCTGTTCTTTGAAACCCCGTAAAAGTCTCGCGATAAAAAGTTAAAGGAAAAATGTAAAAATTATGCAATAAAGTGGGGGTATGTCTGAAATTTTTTGTCCCTGAATTTCCGGGCCGACTTTCGATCAGGAATTGAGAATCTCGGAAGTAATCGCGATGAAAATTCTATGCAAAATGGGTGTAACGATTGGACGAAGATCCACTCGGTGGACAGGGAATCCTCGTTAAGCCTTGGAAAATCGCGCACAGACCGGCTTACTTCCTTGTGGTATTCATAGCCGGATAAGAGGTTCGGGACACCGCAAACTCGGGGAGTAGAGATAAAATCAAACCGTTTGCTCACGGTATCGATATCCGCAGAAAGGATTTGCGGCTCTGCAAACAGTCGCGGAAGCGATATCGAGACCGCCGGTAAGGTCCCTTAACTAAACGACAGGTAACTTGGACTCGCAAAGTGGAATCGTAGGTGATCCACGTAATGCGGATGCGACCCTCTATCGATTTCCCATCCTACTTCGAAACGTCTTCGACTACACACCCTCGACCAGTTCTCGTTTCGACAAAAAGTTCCCTGCAAGTCAAACAACGGGCAGAAAATTACTATCGGCATTAAATCGCCTTCTCTAGGACTTTTACGGTTTAAAGAGAGAAAGCGAACCTCGACCTCGTCGAGGGACGAGACAATCGACGTGCTCGATTCGACTTCTATGTTCTCACCGTTTACGTCGAGGTGGATGTCGATGGTCAGGGGCTCGCGAAGAGCCGGACTTCCGACTCTACAGGTGAAAGTAGCACCTAATTCGTCTCGCGTGATCTGCATCTCCAGTCTGCTGCTTCCGGTTCCAATCCCATTGTCGTTTATTTCTAGTCTGCTAGTGGCTGGAACAGAAAAGAAATTCATTCAATTTATTTCCCGCGTCTTCTGCGCTGCAGATCTTGAAAAGGTGGAATGGGCTAGACGAGTGCACCAGAAATCATGATATCGGTTCATTGATTTTATTACGATTCGCCGAGTTTTCAGCCAAAACGCGGTCCCTACGTTTCTTCGACTTCCCTTTTCCTGCTTATGCGTAGAAAATATTTCTTTTTTATCCTTATCGCTTTACCCAGAAACTAAGTAGCCGCAATGCAACGCCCTCGAGTGGAGTTCCACGTTCGAGCAGCGCCGATCCGAGATCTCCTCTTTTGACACCCTCGTTCTCGCCGGTAATTCCATTGCTCGTAACGACGCCGCGACAGCTCGTATTTGGATTCCCAGCACTGGCGCAAATGACTTTCCGCATTCGCAAAGCGCAGTCTCGCGACGATAATCGGAGTTGCGACTCCGCTAGAGTAAAAGTAATTAAAAGTCCGCGACGCGAAGCTCTTGTTTCGCGGATTCCTTTTCTTTTTTTCTCTCCCTCTCTCTCGAGGCCACAGATCCGCCGACTAATTCTCAACTATCCCACGATTTGGGGAAATCGTTGTCTCGTGAGAGGAAAAGCTCGAGCGGGTGTCACCCTGTCGTTCATCCCACCCGTGGTAATAAGAGTAATTAGAAGAGCAACGTCGGCTTTTTATTCGGCGAACTTTCTAGCGCGACCTCGTCGAGGGCTTTACAATTTCCGCTCGTTTGCCAGGAACGTCGATGTCGGATGACGCTGCGAGTTCCTGGCAAGGATCTTTTACCCGGTGGTCGTCCTGGCCCGACGTCGCTCGGGAAACCGTCGAAGATCTCGCGAACGTGCCCGGTGATGGTTCCGATTTCCGCCTCGGTTTCGGGGAAAAACGCCGATGCCGCTGGTAGCAATATTCGTTCTACTCTGGAGAGCACAAAGGAGTTCTCAGGCTGGGGAGCGAGAAAGGAGTGCGGAGATTGGCAAACGGCAAATATGTGCGTCCCGGCAAATACGCGTCGTCGTTATTGGTCAGTCGTTTCTCCACGACTACGTGCACTCCACCGGTCGAACTTTCCTTTGGAATAAGAAACCGAGGGCTAGACGTTTACGCGACTGCCGGGCCCGACTCGCCACGACAAATCAGCCAGAAGGAAACCCCATGCCGCGTTTCCGAAAGCACATTTCCCCGCGAATCCGTACCATTGCACTAACTAACGCACGGTTATAAATGCACGTAAACGAACCGTGAACTCTGCTACGAGTGGACCATTATTGCCCCTAAAAAGTCAGGGACGTGCCAAACTTTGCGTTTTCTTCAATAAAAAATTTACAGGAGCCGGGAGCTCCGATGAACAAATTCCGCGTGGGTGCTCCAAGTAAGAATTTCTAGCGATGAATAAATTTCTGAAACTTCGAGGCTCTTGAACTTTTTATTTTTGACACTTGTTGCTGCCTCGGTATATTCTTGTTTAATTTCTCACTGCTCGTTGGGGTTTTTTTAATTTTTTAGTCCGTATCGTATGTAGCGGTTTTGGATGTTATCAGGGTCGGATGGTATTAGGAATCGAGCCTCACGGTTCGGTGCAATCGGTGTTTCGAGTCTTGGACTACTCGTGACACCGAGATCTAGAAGACGAAAGACCGCATTACCACCGTACATCAAGGGGAAGTCTCCGGTGGACATTAAGTTGGGTCCTTGCGGCAAGATAACCCGGTGGACCGCGACGATCGAGAGGGCGGCGATTCGTCGCCGCCGAAGAGGTGGGTCGAAATCGGTCCGCATGGCTGGACATCGGTCCAGATCCCAGCATCTCTCCAATGGAGGGATCGGTCCCGATTTAGGAGCCTGGATTTTAAGGATCTATCTTCCGGACGCGAATCTTATTGCGAGGTCCAGGAGGTATTTAATAAAGCCCATGTCTCGGCTGTTTGCAGACGCGGCATCGACCCTGCTCGGCGTTGTTTATCGTGTCCGTCCCGAAGAAGTCGGGCGTCCAATTAGAGTTTGATCCGAGGACGAACGGGACGAATGGGACGAGCCCGAGAAATCCGCAGCGCGAGTTTATTATGAGGGCAATTTTAACTTTGCGCCCAAGGAGACGCTCCCTGAACCAACGGTGTCCTTTGATGTATGGAAGTAATACGGAGGGGTTTTCGGTTCGATTACTTTCTCTTCGGCGAGCGAAAAGACGCAAAAGACGCGATCCGAGCGCGTTCGATTTCTCGCAGGAATCCATGACAAGGGTTTCGGAGACCTCGATAAATCCGGCCGCAGCGACCGCAGATTAGAAACAGCGGAGACGTCGGCCAAAGGGGGATCCATCGCGGGTCTTACGGTGGGTACTCGAGAAATTTTTCCACGAGCTAGTCTGAAAGATGAAATATAATAGGGACGCAAAGTTTGGCGAGTCCATTTCGGTGATGGCGTCCGTCGCGTTGCGGCGGGAGTTTCAAACGTAGCCAATGGACTCTCCGGTGAATGGCCATTTTAATGCATTTCGAATGAGACGGGCGGGTAATACGCGTTTCGAGCAATCATTCATCGGTGTACTCGCCCTAATTTTACCGGACCCAAGTGCAACATAGTGTTCTTGTTACAATATTTGCCCCGGTATCGGTCGCGTCGCGCATTATGCGCCTCCGCGACTGAGCGCCGTTTTTAATATTCGAGACGAACGCGTACATCCAAAGGATCGGCAAACTCCACGTTGGCGCTGCCTTGTTCGGCCGTAATTACCGACCAATTATCGCGGAATCCTGTATGGATAATTAACTCACGTTTGCCACCGCGACGACTACCAAACAACGCGCGTAAAATGCCCGGCCAAGTCGGCGAAGCGTTCGTTGCAGCGCGTGGAGCCGCTGCAAACCGACTTAATCGATTCGGAATAGCGCTACATCTCGTTGAATTATTAACCCCGCAGTATTGAACTCGCGCGGGCCCAGATGATTGGTAATTTCTAATACGGAATAGTAAATCATTGCCCGCCGTAATGGAAATGACCAACCATCTGCGCCTAGCGAAATTCAATAACGCGAAATTGGCTATTCTGATATCGCGTTATCTCGCAATAGGTGCACACCGCGTTTGCACTCGTGTTGGCACTACGTTAGGGTAATTTCGTGAGAGATGTCCTTCCGCCAGACCGCAACGTTTAGGGAAGACCTCTCCTAATTGTCCCGGCTGCCCCTCGCGATAAACGCTGCCCTCTCGTTTCTTGGCAAACGAGGCTAAAAATGCGGAGGTGAAGTCGCTGCACCGAGTATGAATAAAAGGGAGAGACGGGCAAGTTAATTCCCTCCAGACGGGGAGGTTTACTTCGACATTCTGCAGTTTATCCGATCCCACCGAGAGGAGGCATGTCACGGTGCGACTAAACAAGGGAACCAACTGCCGCGAACTCGATCTATAACAGAGAGCAGTTCATCAGCTGGTCGATTTAAGTTTTCCCATTGCTCGGGCTAATGGAGTTTTAATTGTCGTTTTAATCATCGGTCCACGGAATAGAAAAAGCCTTCCGGTAAATTCATTAAGGATTTATTGGACCGGGCGATCCATCCATCGGGCGGTAATTAGATTGGCTGCTTGTCAACTTCTTTCATCTCCGCGCCTCTGGCGCGACAAATTAAGTCTTTCGGACCTCGAATCGCGGAATTCGAAGGAGCGTTAGGACCAAAGTATCACTCGAGAGGATTCTTTGCCTCGAAAAACACACCGTAGATCGTTTAATGGCACGTACAAGTGCTAGAAGAACGGGCTTCGTACCCCGCCACTCTCTGGGCACCGTGTGCAGTACACCGCTGGAAAGTACCCTAGTGCAGATTGCCAGGTTTAACGTCTCCTTCGGTTTTTATGGGATCACATTGGCGGAATTGTTTCCAAACATAAAACAAACGTTCCGGGAGGAATGAAGTTGCATGGAATACGTGTAACACGGTCGTTGCAGATTCCCTGCAAAATGTTCTTTGCGTATTTACCCTGGGACATTACCATTTGGCCAGCCTGGCTATATGCATAGTTAGCTGAAGCAGCAGTTACCGTTATGCTCCGCGTAATGCGATTGCAGTTTACATTCAAACAGTTGCATTTAGTAATCCCGCACCTTGTCGATTGTCCTCAAGTAATTACTTTCGAGGGACGTGTCGCGTTTCATTCTCTCGGACCGTTTCGTGCTCTCAAGGTTCGCATTCGGATGCACCCCGAACAAGTTGCATGGTTTTCACTGGTGATCGTTTGAAAATCTACGCCGAATGGATTTATCTGGCGTGGAATATAAAGTGGAACTTTAAAGCGTGGGACCTTTTAATTCCAAGTTACCCTTTGCAAATTGCCTACCTTCTAAGCTCCTGTTGCCACTGTACCATTCGACGACTGGGACGGGTTTTCCTTCTCCACTCTCGCAGTTCAATGAAATTTCGGTTCCTTCGTTGATCGGGCCCAGGGTCGTGCCGGAACTCAGAATTGCATTCGTCTCCTCGTCCGTCACTCGTACAAAGCTTGGTTGCACTGTAACAGATGTAATCCTCAATTAATTGACATAAAATGGGAGAGTAATTCATTTTTTGTCCTCGATTTAACGCCGTACTATAATTCGCTAGTCCGATAGAAAAGAAGATGCCTCCGTTTAGAAGAGATACGTTTGTCAAGAATCCGGAGGAAAATGCAGTTGCGGGTTTGGCCAGCTATGCGAAGTAGCGACTGTGCAGAGATCCTTTCAAATACGAGCACTTGCACCGGGGACTGAATTACGCAACTCCGGACGCACTTTTGACCACCTTTCGGCAACGAAACGAATCGCCATTTGCAGGCCAGGGTGTGTCTGACAAATTATTACGAAATATCACAAAGCCCGTTTCTTGGTGCGCGGAAAAACACATTTTTTCGTTGACCCACTTCTCTCTTTAGCCGGTATCTCGCAGGACGGGTTACGGTTTTTCGTTGTTAAATTAATACAAAGGAAACAGCGATCGAGAAATCGTCGAAGTTACTCTCGGCGGAAGCTGCAGGTTTACTCGAGCCTTCGGGTTTAGCCCGAAATTTCGATATTTCGGTGTTACGGTATTTCGTGGGCGTTGCCCAAAAGTATTGGTAGACCGCGATAGGTATACGAGACCGATTAAGCCCGCGGTGCGCAGGCTTTATGGATTATCGAGACGTATAGTGCATAACCTCCATGGCGTGCCGAGGATCAAGGTATCAGACATTCAAAGTACCGAGACGCGGGGTGAAAAATGATCTTCCTAAGGCAGCTTCGGTCACGTTTATCCCCTGTAACCTGCCCTGAAAATACAGCTTCCCCGTGCAATCGGGCGCGACTTTTCAGTTTCCCAGCTCGTATCGGTAGATTCTTTTCGCACACACTTGGCTCCAGTTACGGGTCATCTTTTATGTCCGGCTTAATCTTCCAGACCCACCGCTAGGGAACTTAGCCCCGACCTAACCGGCGCAAACGACCTTCCGAAACACACTTATTAGATATCGGATTTTCGTCATCCGCCGAGGAAATCTGCCAGTGACAACTTTCTTAATTCCGCCAACTTTCCACTCGATCATCCTCCCAATCGGTCCATTCACCTACGTCCATCGCGTGCGCTCTTCTCTTTAGGGATCACGCTACAATCTCGAGATCTCTTTCGAAGGTCTGGGAAGGGCACGAGCCACGGAAAAGAAAACCGAGGAAGCTCTCGTCCGACTGTCGAAAATTGGCCATCGATCGCAATCCCAGTCGATCGAAGGTCCTCGGGCCAGACGAGAGCTTTCCTTTCCAGGGTGGATCGGTTTCGATGTCGGGCCGACAAAAAAAAAAACTCGATCGGCCTGTCCGCAATTGCGAGCTCCCTTTGGCGAAACTCGCATTGTCTGAGTCCAATTGATTTGCGGGATTTTGGCCCTGTAGCTTCACCATCCGGAATGTTCAGCAGTCCCTCCACGCATTGGGACTCACCAATGGTTTTCCGGTATTGAACGAGATATTCTCCTATATTGCTCCCAATGCGTACGTTGTAACACGGTTTATACCGTAGCACCGTGCAACTAAAGTGCGATATTCCGAAGGAAACCCTCGAAACTTGCCAATCGCCGGCGAGAGTCGAGAGTTCTCTCGCATCGGGGACCGGAACCTCGCGCCGCCATTTTCGAACGGCCAAGCGAACGTCCATTGAAGTTCTTCTGTGATTTTAAATCTCATTTTATGGGATACAAAACGACTTAAGAGAATGACGAGTGCCTTATTTCGATTATCTACACCGACGAGCCGCTTTCAGCGGCGAGAATCGATTGCCTTCATTTAAATCAGGCGAAACGGAGCATGAATTGTTTTCCATGGGGATTTTCATTTCGCCGATTGAAGAAACGAGAGGATTGCTACATCGAGGGATTAAAATGCCGGTATATGGTTTCCAGTGCAACCTCGTTCCGGCCAACTGACCATTTCGTTCTTTGAAAAGGAGGTCCTTTCCCACGGACGGGTCCTTCACTTTTCGTTCGAGCCGAGAGATTGGCAAAATTTTCGGATCAATCGGACGCTCGGTACTCTTCGACGAGCGGGAAGTTCACATAGAAATCGAATCACGTAAATTACCTAAATATTCATCGTCGCGAGCTCGGCTCGGAATATAAACGCTCGCCCCTCGGTGCATCCGAGCAAGGGCGAGTTATTAATTTCGTAAGGACGAGAATAGATTACTTCTCGGAAACAAATAAATGGCCCCTACCTTTCCTCCCTCTCCCGTCAAACGCAGGATTTAACAAAAGCGTACCCACGGGATGTTGGAAGCGCATTTCCGCGTTATAAATTCAACGTTCGACGGGGAAGAGGCGCCGACAATTTTGATCGCAAATACGGAGAAGCGGAAGAGTAACGATCCAGGTGGAATTTCGAGTCGGGAGATAGAAAAAAGGATGCCTCTGTCGAGGCCGAATTTGCCGCGACTAATACGTGGCTTCGACACCTTCACCTTTCCTGCCGAAGCGTTGAACGACCAACTTTTTGGCCCCGCACTTTTCGAATCCAATTTGTCCAATTGACAACCACGCTGTCAAATGTAACGCCAAAAATTGTCCCGCCAGCACTGGAGGACTTTGGACATTTCGCAGAAGTTAATTACAACTTTTCCTGATCAAACATGCGCGTGCTCTGGAATGGCGGGATGTATCGCGAGTAGGCTCACTTTTTCGACTCCGTGTCACCTGGCCGGGTTTTTCTCTTTAATGGGACAGGTATCGTAGCATGTGCACAGCGTGTTTCGGTCGAATTCACCTGGCCGTATAGTGTTCATACATGCTCCCGGATTATACGGCGTATCGTGCGCAACCTTGCCAAGTAATAACTTTCCATCCTTCATTTTCCCGATGCCGAACCAAAAATCCACGTGCCCGGGAGATCGGCGCCATTATTCGCCGAAATTCCCAGCCCCGGAAGGGCATTATCGAGCCCCACTATACACCGAATTTATGAAAAAGAAATGGGGAAAAAGGAAGGCGAAGAAAAAATCCACCCCGCAGATTTTCCCACGCGTCCAAGTATTTTTCCATGCAAATGATAGAGTCTGGGATTTGCATGGAAAAATACTTTGCACGCACGAAGGGACCTGCCAGACGCGCGACAAATTTTCCCGAGTACTCGTGTCGCCACCGAATGGCAGATTTCGTTCCCTTGCTCTAATGTCCATTTCCTAAGCTCCTCTTATAAGACTTCACTTATCCAGGTACATGACGTGCCTGGAAAACGCAAAACTCGTCGTTGATCACCGCTGGGCCAACTTCGAAAGCAACTTTTCGCATTGCCTTTGCATTATCGGCCGTTCCCGAGGATGAATTACATTTCCATCGGCAACCAGCGGAGCGGAATGAAATGGTAATACAATTTTTCGGGTCCGCCTTGCGCCCCTGATTGAAACGAGCCCCGGAGTGTCCGGCATATCGCGTACAAGCCGGACGCATAATCATTGCCCCCCTCTTCTCTCGACCCCTCCGCAATTCCATGCCGAAAATCGATGTCGCGAAAAGATCGGTTATCCGTTAAATACCCTCTCCCCGGGTTTGCCGAGGCCTCTCGGGGAAGTGGCCTCGGCAAATAATCGAAGCAAAAGAAAAAGTGGGCGGGAAAACTCGATGGAGTGGGAAAATCCAGCTCGGTGGAAATCGGGGAGACGTCTCGGCTCGCGAAAGGCGCGGTAAAGTCTCGGCCTTCCCGTCTTCGAATCCCGATATCAATTTTCAGCGACGGTGCCATTACGGTTACGGAGAAGTAATAAATTCTCGAGTGGCTAATATCGAGCGGGTTGCGTATTTATCCGGGACTCGCGGGGGTCGAACAACTCGGGAGAACTTACTTTCCCCGGAGGTCCCTCTCCTTGTCGCGCTCTTTCAAAGCCACTCCGGCTCACCGAGCTCTTTATCACTTTCCTCGCAGAGCTCGTTTGCTCTCCGGCTCCGGCACCGTCTTTCGTTCCGATAATGTAAGCATAACGATCTTCGCCAGACTTTTTGCCGACTGGTATTACTCGAGCGGGTATCGGCGGAGGTAAGAAGAGCCGCGTGGCTAATAGTGCGCCGGAAGAAACCTCGAATGAACGGAATTCTCTGTGCGAGTCCATTAGGGAGCTTTCGGAACTTGCGGAGGCGTCGTCGCGTACGGAGCACAATTGGATCGCGCATTCGATTGCCACGAGGTAGACCAGAAGACGCAGGCGAGCCTCTTTTTTCGCTCGCTCTATTCTCGACCTTATCTCCAATCCCTTCTCCGGGTATCGACGTTTCGCTATTTTACGTCCGCCACCTTTTCGTAGCGATTTGGCGAGTCGAATAGTTTACCAACTCGAGTTACTCGAACATTGTCAATTCAAGTCGATGACTCGATTTCACATACATTCGGCGCGACGAATCGAGTCAATCGCAAGGTGGAGAGGAAAATTCGAATAACAATTATTCGAATAAAAATAAAAATTAGGCGCGATTGGTATTTCGATCTCCCCCTTGCACTCGTAACACGCATTCGTTTGGATTAATAACTCGAGTCCCAATAAAAATGACTCGAGTTTAACGAGTTAAAATACTCGGCTCGTCCCATCGCTACCTTTTAGCGAGGTTTCGAGATTTCGCGGAAAACGTAAATCCGCCTAGACTTTTCGCCGTCCCGGATCTCCCCGAGGTTGCTGCCAAGATTTCTCGCATGAGCGCTTGCACGTTTTATACAATTAAATGCCTTTGTTGTGTTTCGCGATATTAAAAGTTCTTTTAAAGCATCGGATTTAATATCCGCCCAGGGTGCTCGCCCGCTGAACCCATCCATCCTCCCTGGAGACGAAAATCAATGTACCCGGCCAAGATGTATTCCCGTCGAATCGACGCCCCTCGTGATAAATATCAAACTTCGAGGTCAGATTATCCACTAAACTGTGCTTTAACGATCGTTTTTCTCGAGCTACTCGCGACTTCGTTCGCGCGCAACATCCTCGACATCGAGGACGATATCGGAAGTTAACGATATCTTTAACTCGAGGGAA